TAGTTAGAGTTAGTTAGAGTTAGAGTTAGTTAGAGTTAGTTAGAGTTAGAGTTAGTTAGAGTTAGTTAGAGTTAGAGTTAGTTAGAGTTAGTTAGAGTTAGAGTTAGGGTTCCAACCTGTGATTTATATTCTACAATCATCAAGTCTCTCATTCAGCTGCATGACTCGACTCAGAACTACAGTAAAATACATGACTGTAAATTTGTTCAGTGTGATACTAAAAATAAACAAACACGAAAACAAACAAACACGCTGTCCTCAGTTCTTCTTGTGTTGAGATCAGCCTGCAGAACAGCTGACATTGATCCATAAATTACACAACTTTACACATCAACACATCTATTGTGTGCATGTTGTGGAGCTGAGGAGTCATCACAGCTGAGCTGTTCTCAGTTAATCTGCTGAGTTGATGTTTTTTTAGTGAGAATTAAAATGTTTCTTAGACAGTTCACACATTTTATTCTCCTCAGCTGTGTGTGTGCTCCACAGGCCTGCGCTCTGCGTGTGTTTACAACTAAGTGACAACAATATAACCAGTTTACAGACTGGACTGAGGTTCCTTGATCATTTTTTGACTGATCTGTTTTCTTGTCTGAGGTTAAATGATTTTCAGTTTCATCATGGTTCAGTTTAAACAATAAAAATCAAACTAAAATAAAAATCTAACASTGTGTTCAGACGCTCCTTACATCCAGAAAACACAACAGAGTCATATTTCTGTGGATTCAGCTCAGATTCATGACTTTGTGTGTTAAAACTGTGGACTGAAAACTTTGTGTGTCTGCTGCACATTCTCACTGCAGGTGAAAAGTGTGTGTAAATATACGCACACTTTCACACAACGTTGGTTTTTATACATCCCAACATGGGCGTAGAGCCTGGAGCACACAACTTTGTTGTGTACACAGTGTTTAGACATGAGGCCCAGGTCCCTGCTGGGTTGTGTTTTCTGAACATTGCAGTGACTTGTGTGTTTTTACCTGTTCAGAGTGTGATCTCTCAGGATTCTGCAGTTGGTGAACTGAGTGATGGGAGCGTCAGACACAGATTTATTGGACGGCATGTTTGTTGGAGATGAACCACACCTGCTAACAGCCCCACTTCAGACAGCTCAACAAACCAAACAGTCAGAGAACAAAGTCCAGCTTTGCTGCAAAAACAAAAAACACATAAGCTCTTTTTTGTGTTCCAATTATTATTTGTTGCATATTTTAACCATAACTGTAACAAAAGTGAGTCATTGGAGTGAAGCTCTGCAGCAGTCAGGACTGTTTCCTGAAATATCTCAATGAATTCTGATGCTGACACCACACAGTTGGATGGTCTCTTCATACATATATATATTTTATTTTTAGTTTTGAAAAGATATTAAAACGTGTTTGTTTACGTGTTCATAACCAGATAGAAAGTACACTAATATTTGAATGTTTGAATGTGAGAAGCCATCACACAACAGCGCTGGACTGAAACAGTTTAATGCTCTTGTTATGGACTAATTATCTATCTGTGTCACATGTTCAATGTTAATCTGTTTGTCCAGACAACAGGACTCTGCAACGGACTGACCTCTCTTGTTTGATAAGACACTCTTTGATCTGGGAGCCCTGTGATAGGCTGGAGAGTACATGAGGCGATCTGTGATTGGTTATAAGCATGTCATATGA